TATTTATAGACTTGATGCGCAAACATAGTAAGTTTTAATAAACGAAAAGATGAAATTTAGCTTTAGAAGGAAGAAATTTGCTCTCTTTCTCTTATTGTCTGCAATCTTATCTGTTTATTAAACTTAGGAGAGGCTACACTCTGATCTTCACCGATTTTGATCAACTTGCAGCAATGTTAGAGGAGCCTACCAAATGAACACCTGTAAAGCCGTTCCCGCTAATGGGCCTTAGAAGCCGAGTAATGAGCATTTTAAAACATACCAAAAATCTGGAAACAGTCTAACACCATTAGATGGCATCGCCAAGGTCAAGATGACGATGCCTCCAAAGATCAAACCAATAAAGCCAGTAAATACATCTCATTAAACCTTACCATTTTTGTATAAGACATTTTTCTCAAAAATGTATCCTTTCTGAGATATTAGATTGTTTTCAGATTTTTTGATATACTTTTAAATGCTCATTACTCGACTTCTAAGGCCCATTAGCGGGAACGGCTTTACAGGTGTTCATTTGGTAAGCTCCTCTAACATTGCTGCAAGTTTGATCAAAACCGGTGAAGAGCAGAGCGTAGCCTCTCCTTATTAGTAAGAGACTTCGGTTTATCTTTTTGAGTAGTATATGTGTAGTATCAACGAGAACGCGATGTGTTGCCGCGTTGCGAAATACAGACGGTGCCCGTAGCAATCGTCTCTTCTAATTGTAAGTATAGATCTTCTCTTTCATAACACAGGTGGTAATAGCAACGGAGGTGTGAACGAGGCGTGGAGGTGTGTCGGCGAGGAGATGGAGGCTGCAGCGGAAGCGCATCGGCTATGGGGCATCGCGTTAAGCGAACAACTTGCCAAACCGCTCAGAGTAAGTCCGAGTCTAGGGAGATGATTACGATGATCAGAAAAGCGCGTGTAAAAGACTGGATGCGTAACCGGGTACTTACGTACACGGTTGTTGCAAAACGGCAAAATTAAAATCGCCCAAAGAAAATTTACCTTGAGAATTTTTCAGACAACACGAGGTGTCCAAAATTGGGACACAAGACATCTTTGGCGTCAACCCAGCCAACACAAAATCTAAAATTGAGACATAAAACTTCAAGACGTCTAAAAAAATGTTTTTAAATTTTATATCTCAATTTTAGACTTTGTGTTGTCTAGGTTGACTCTTTTATATCTTACGAATTATATTTCGCTGGCGAAAAGTGCATCGAATCGGATCACAAATATTAAAATGATAAAAATTTGAGACGTGACATTACTACATTACATCACATACGAGTATGCATATGCGCAAATATGTAAAGTTGACTTTCTCTTTGCGGAAACTCGCATTACTCTCTCTCTCTTGCAACCGAAAAGATTCAATCTTGTAATAGCATTGAACGAACTGAATCGAGAAACGAAAGGAATGAAAGGATGACAACGTATATGTAACACACAGGTGGGTGTAGCGGAGACACAAGGCCGATCGAGAAAGAGCATCGAAAACTCGGTGGACAAAGCATCCAAATCGCTGCAAGAATGGCGTGGAATAGCGGCAAAGAGTAAAAAGCAGAGCTTTGCGTGTGCGCGCGAGAACGAGAGATTGCAGGATCTGGCGCGGTTGCAGACCATCAGTCAAAGTCAGCAGAGCAACAATAGGTCGTCGACATCGAGTCATCACGTTACAGAGAAGGAAGCGAGCAAACTGGAGACTAGACGAAGGAAAGCTGAGGACTCCTCGCGACGAGCGGATACCGAATTCTATACGGTCAGCGTGAGAGCCGAGAGGGCCAGGCTCGAGTACGAGAGCACGATGAAGAAAGGCGCGAAGCAAATGGAATTGCTCGAAGAGGAACGACTGAGCGCCCTAAAAGACCTCGCCAACGTGTACTTGACGCACTTACAGGCGCTCGCGCCGCGATTGCAGCAGGTAATATACGAACATTACAAATGATCGAAATAATCGCGCGATCACGCATCATTGCAATTATATTTTTCACTTATCATAAAGATAATTTAAATTTCTCAAATATATACTTTCGTAGAGCGCCGATCGCTTACTAACGCCCGTGCGCAGTTGCAACGTGTCGCAGGACTTAGAGATCCTAAAAAATCTCGTACGCCGAATGGATAATCACGATGTGACGAACGCGGAACAATTATTGCCGGATTTCTACGCCGAACACGTGACGTTAGCGATGAACCGCGAACGGCGGAAACAGGCATTGGTGAGGGTGCTGCATCTGATAAGGCAAGATCTCGAGCGAGAAAGACGAGGTAGAGAAGGTCTGGAAACATTACACCGAGCTTTCGTTAAGACTCCGGCATTTGCGGCGGACGAAAGCACGCAAAACGTAACGGATAAACTAAATCACGTACGTATGTCGAGCATGGTGCATTTATCGCTAATCTGACATAAGGCCTGTTCTTTTTGGCTGAACTTTTGCACCAGTTCATCTTTCTTCCTCTTCTTTCCTGCTGGAGAGAAAAGGAAAAAAAGATGAAACTGGTGCAAAAGTTCAGCCAAAAAGAACAGACCTGTAGTTAGGGCTATTATTTTGTACTAACAATAAATACGGGCACGCGATATAAAAAATAAATACGTTTCCGCAGATGCGTTCAATGTTGTTGTACTTAGAAGCGGCTAGGTACAAAGTCAGCGGTACGCTCGCTGAAGTGGAGGGTAGCAAACGAATCAAACATCCCTTATCGGACCATATTTTAGTTTCGAGAGACAAACAGGGTTTGCAGCAAAGTGTTCTCAAGGTATAGTATTTTCAAGGCTAACTTTTCAAACTGTGAGGGACAGTTGAATTAATAACGGATGAAATAGCGCACAAAATTCCTTGAGGATAGCTGCCTAATAGGATACCGCAGAATTAGTTTAGAAGTGAAGTGGAAACAATCTCGTTATTACGTTCAAAATTGCGTATTATGAGAGGTTCCAGTGCAATCCTGAATTTAATATATTGAGTTAGGAAAAAAGTCTTTTTACAAATTGGTAAAAGAATATTCTACTTTTAAAATTGACAATTACACCATTTGACAGAACAATGTTCCAGCTTTAAGAATATGTATTTTTAATTGCGATACGATGATTTTTAATGGAGTTACGAGCAATAAAATCAGAATGTTCCTTTTTACTTAATTCGCGAGTAATTCAGATACAAAAAATCAGGAACATTAAAGAAAATGATTTTGTAGAGGAAGCTTCAAGCTTTCACGACAGATAGTCGAAAATTTGCTCAAATTTTTTTTGGGCACGCTACAGACCTACAAAGCAAAAAAAAATTTTTCATTTTTTTCAGCTCGTAGTTTTCTATATGTTAAAATTACAAAACTAACATAAATTTAAAAAAATGTAGTAACCATTCGAAAGT